GACTGGCCCCTGGGCTGGGGGTGCCCAATCCCCGGGGCCGTGGGCAGCATCCCGGGGCTGGTGCTCGGAGCTGGGCAGAGAAGGTCTCAGGCTGGGGGGTCCCGACGACTTTCCAGATCTCTCCCTCCTGAGCAGCGATGGGGGCGGGTCGGATCCTGGGGGCCGGGAGCGGCTGGGCTGGGGCTCTGCTAGTGACACTGATGGTGCTGAGAACCCACCTGGCTCATTGCACAGAGCCCGAAGGTGAGCAGAGACCCCAGCGCCCCGGGGTGCCCCGTCCTGGGCAGCGCTGGGTGTATCCGGGGGGGATCAGACCACAGCGCCCCGGGGTGCCCCGTCCTGGGCAGCGCTGGGTGTATCCGGGGGGATCAGACCCCAGCGCCCCGGGGAGCCCCGTCCTGCCTGTGCCCGTGTCTCCCCCGCTCAGTGTCTCCCACCAAGCCCCAGTCTCTGCCCTGCATGCCCCAGTGTGGGCTCAGTGTTAGTCATGCACCGCCCCCATCATGCCCCTTCCCCCTACCTGGGGGTGGGTTCGGGTTCGGGTTTGGGTTTGGGGCGGTGGGTTCCTTGATGCTCTCACGGCTCCGGCTGTTCCCCCCCGCGCTGGGCTACGAACTGGGGGCAGGACGGGGAGGGGCAGCTGGGGGGTGTCTGAGCCGAGCCATTCCCTGCTCCCCCCCGCAGGGTGGTTTCTGTACCAGACGAAGTCTGACTGTCTGTTCACCAACGGCACCGAGCGGGTCCGGTTCCTGGACCGGTACATGTACGACCGGCAGCAGTTCGTGCAGTTCGACAGCGACGTGGGGGTGTACGTGGGGGAGACGGAGGTGGGGCGGCACTGGGCCGAGTACTGGAACAAGAACAAGGAGTTCCTGGCGCAGATGCGGGCTGCGGTGGACACGTTCTGCCGGCACAACTACGGGGCGGTCGAGCCTTTCAGCGTGGCCCGGAGAGGTGAGTGCCGGGGGGGGGTGGGGAGACAGCGACCCGGCGATCCAGGTGGGCTCAGGTGGACACATTCTGCCGGCACAACTACAGGACGGCGCAGGCGGGGAAGATGGTCGGCCGCCGAGGTGAGCGGGGGGCGGGGCCAGGAGCGGGGGCGGGGCTCGGAGAGGTGAGCGGGGGGCGGGGCCAGGAGCGGGGACGGGGCTCGGAGAGGGGAGCGCGGGGGGTGGAGGGGTAACAGAAGGCCTCGTGCTACGGGCGGGGGCAGCAGGCGCTGGGGCCGGGTAACGGGGGCAGGGAATCTCCCCGGCCGCCCCCGGGTCTGGCTGCAGCGCCCCCTGGCTGCAGGGAGCAGAGCCCACCCGGGTCAGTCTGGGGGGGGCTGACCCCTCCCCCTTTCCAGCCCCCCCCTGCTCCTCTGAGGGGTTCAGCCCCCCAGCACCCCCACTCAGGGGCAGGCGACTGCTGCGGCACCTACCCCCCTTCCTGCGCTGGGGGGGGCCGGGCGATGAGGCAGAACTTTCAACGCCCCCAACCCTGCCCCTCCCCCCTCGGGGTGCCCCTG